TGGTGTCTTTCAGGTCAGAAAGTCTATTTTCACTTTCCCTCAAACGGTTTTGCCAGCTTATGATTGAGGTTTTAATTTCCTGTATATCACTTTGAACCTGTTTCATAAATTCTATTTCTTTCCTAAATTGCTTATTCAGAGGTTCCATCATTTTTATATTCTGCTCTATTTTTTTTATCAATGTATTCTTTAGAAGCACTTAGTACTTCTTTGATTATAGTTATCACTAAATTTTTTAGTTCCAAAATTATTTCTGATCTGACTTCTTCTATACCTTTCTGCAGTTGATTCTTTACTGCCAACGCTATTTCAGAGATATCTGGTGTGTGATTTCCAGTTTCCTCAGTGCTAGTGTCTTCTGCATTTGTACTGGGTGGACTTGGGGACTGAGACTGCATTTTGTTCCTTCTCTTTGTCATTTTGTATACCTGTCTTCTGACCTTTGCTGTAGAGCTTAGAGTTATTACCTTAGCAGCAGGTCCAGATCTCTGTAGAGTTCAGATTCCTCCAGGTCAGTTTAGATCTGGCTGGGGTCTGGCTGCTGTGCTCCACTTCTTTCTGCTGTAGGTGTTAGAGTTGAACTCTTTGTATCTCTCTGGCAAGATGTTCTACTCCTGAATCAGCTGGGTGGTCTTCCCTCTAGCCTCTTTGCAGGGAGTTCTGCTGAAGGGTTCCACGCTGGGCCTGCACTCTGGGTCAAATGAGGATCCATGGGCCCTGGGTCGTCTCACTCACTCTCTCTTACATCTGTTTCCAACTTTTAAATACAAATATAAAACCTGATTTAGAGTTCATGTTACTAAAATGATTTCACTTAAAAACACAAGATATGTAAGACAGTTGTTTTAATAACAACCACAAAGATGTGGCTCATCTTTGCCTACCTAGAAAAGACGAGTTATATATTTCCTTATTCCCACCACCAAATGATTGGAACTGCAATAGACATTCCCACTCAGAAAAGAATAATGTGAAGAAACTAGAGTAGTTATTAGAGGCTAAAAGAGGATCACTAGGAGTCCAAGCTGCATAGCGAGACCCTATATCAATAGATAAAATAAAATGAAATGAAATGAAAACACTGGAAAGACCTGGTGAAGACCCTTATGTTGGAAGTGGAGATTTTCCTTGATTGTGTTACTGTTCTACTCTTGATGGGGAACTTCATAAATGCATTGCCGTATGTGTACCTCCTGGTTCCCCTCTTAGAGAATGTGTCTCGTGTATTATCACCCTTGCAACAGTTAGAGTGGATTTGGTGAGGAGTGTGTCCATCTTGGGGATAGCTCTTGTCTTTTCCTACATGTTAGTAGTTCTAAGGCTTGCATTTGATGGCTATGAGGTGGTTTTGTTTTTAAATATGATTGTGGGCCTTCAGAAAGTTTAGTGGCTTTCTAATTTGTTTGGCTCCAGTCAGTCCCTCATCCCAGTAACAAAATTCAAGTTATTTGTAACACAAAGGTTTAAATCTACTTGTCTCTTCGGTTCTTGAATCCTCTGATATTTCTCTTGATGTACATAGAATTGTCTCTGTTTTGGGGACCAGTAACCACAGGTGTGAAAAGGGCTCTGTAGTCTGGCTTGTGTGAAGCACCTGGGCTACTCTTCTCATCTGAGCAGCCTCATGAGATCTTGTTTCTCATTTTTCCACTCTGAGTCATACTTGGTGTTTCTAGTCTGGACATAGAGAGTAAGTCTGGAGACGGGTTTTCAGACTGTCTTTGTTCCCTTCCAAAACTTACAGCCCAGCAATTCAATCTTGAGTGTGGTTTTTGTCGTTGTTTTGTTGGTTTTTGGTTTTAGTTTTGGTTTTGTTTTTTTTTTTTTTTTTTTTTCTGTAATATCTTGCTGAAAGCAATGAGTAATGCCACCACTGAAAAAAATACTTGTTCTTTCTAGCAGTTTTTCTGAGTCCTCCGCATTCAGTGGGTCTGTGGTCTGCTATAAACTGTTATGATCATTTAGTTCTCATTTGTACTGTAAAACATCATTTGCCATCACTCTGGCCTCTTGTCTGCTGTCAGTTTCTTGCCACCCAAAACCTGACACTCAACATTTAATAACTTTTTTATGGAACCAGGAATCGAAGTCAGGACTTTGCACTTGCCAGGCAGGCACCTGCCACTGAGCTATACGCCCGGCCCTTTAACACTCACGTTTTTAAGGCAGGATGGGCCCATCTAGATGAAAGGTGGCTAAGAAAGAAAGTTTAGTTGTAACCCAAAAAGAATAACCAACTTTTTTGCATTTACTGAGGATTGAACCCAAGGCCTTCACCAGAGCTATATCTCCATCCACTTTTTACTTTTGATTTTGTGATATAGTCTCACTAATTGGTTGAGTTGCATTGACTGGGCTTGAACTTGAGATCCTTCTGCTTCAGCCTCCAGACATACTGGGGTTACCGGAATGCACCACCATGCAGGATCAAGCCAGGTTTTGAAATAGCTATTAAATATGTCAGTGATTTCAGCTGCTTTACAAGTTTTAATGGTTGCTGAGAAGTCAATCTATGTAATATGAAAAGGGAGCCTCTTGAATAACTATTCTTTAATCGTATTTTATAAGGTATAAAAATCAAGTGACCTATACAATCAGGTGACCATGATAAAGTAACTTGAGAATAACAGTTTTTATAGTTTTGGATCTCCTGTAGTTTGCTTGTATTTAATCATATTCAGGGCATTCCATTGAAATTGTTTTCCAGATTTTCAACATCTATTTTGTTGGAACTGTTTTATTTCATTTAAGTAGTTTAATCCATACATGATTTTATTTTAAAATCCTAGTGATTTTTTACTTCAAAATTTTTTTTGTACTGTGACTATATTGGTGCCCTTTAATATTCATACTCCATGATTCTATGGCATAAATTATAATTCTTTAATTTCCTACAAAATTATGTAATTTTTTTTTTCAAATTCAGATTGACTTACTAAGAAATTATGGCTAAAAGATATATTACAGAAAGAAAGCAATCTCAGTCTCATTGGGTTTGTTCCTGGCTTTCAAATTAGGTCTCAGTATCACTTGTATGTTATACTGCATTGTCCTGTATTATGCTCCATTAAGAATACCTGAAATTAGTAGAATGTGGTGCCACTTGCAAATACAGGCTGAGGCAGCGGGATCACCATGAGTCCAAGGCCAGTGTGTGCTATACAGTGAGTGTAAGGCCAGCCTGTACAAAGCAAGACCTTGTCTCAAAGTCACAACAGCAAGAAATCATAATCTGAAGTAAAAACAGTATGTGCACTATGTCAGTATCTTATATTAACCAGAATTGTAAATGTATTTAACGTTAGTAATTTAATTCACATAGTTATGACTCAAATATATGTGTGTGCATATTTAACTGATACTTGGAAATCCAATTATACAGTTTATGCCATGTCCTGTTTATTTGCTAGTGCTCAGAAAGTGACTGAGAGTAAAGACTCGCTAAATGCTCCCTCATTACCCTGTAAGAGAAATGCGAATGTGATGCTGTCTCAAGCCCCACGAAATGTCACCCACCTCTTGGACAGCAATGAGGAGAATGTGACTTTACAAGAAACACCAGATAGGAATGTGGAAAAGAGCTGTTCAACAACAACTCCTGCAGAAGAACAGATTGATAAAATGTATCTTGATATTTTGAGGAAAAAAATATCTGTTAATTCTTCAGTATTATCTCAGGATGACAGAATTAATAAAGTAAGTGTTTGTAATTGAAATAGATTTGTTATATATGTAAAGTGCGTAAGTACTGGGAAAAGTGTGTGTTTCTTAAGCTAGTAGGATTGATTTAGATATCTAAACTCCACAGTGTATCCTGGGTGTTTATTGGTATCCTTCTATCCCCAAATTCAGAAATAAAACTGTAATACTAGCTTTCTTTTAAAAGCTATTATTTACATTTTTATTTTTTTACCTTTGTTTTAGTGACTAGAATCCAGAATTTGTATAGTTTAAGAAAATAAAGTTTACCCATTGTTCAGTCTTGCCAGTAGTTTGCACTGTAGGTTGCAAAGCATATTTTATAGGAATGCCACCCGCAACTGTGAAGAAACTTGTATTTCACTATTCCTTTTTTTTTTTTTTTTTTTTTTAATGTATTTAGTACAGGGTCTCACTACGTAGATCGGACTCATAGTGATTCTTCTATTTTCAGCCTCCCAAGCACTGAGATTACAGGCACGCACCACCATGCCCAGTCTCACTCACTGTCTTAGCCGGCTCCGGGGGCAGGGCTGGCACGGTGTGCCAGGGATGGAACCCCGGCCACTGTGCTCGCTATTCCTTTTCTCTGAGAACATTTTTTTTTTCTTTGTTTTCTGCTTTATAGTGCCCAGGGTCCCAGTGTTTTCATTCGTAATTTTGAGTTATATTAATCATAAATCATTTCTAGTTCTTTGTGGAATAAGGCAAGGTATTAATAAAAATTTTGAAGACTGCTGAGAACTCTAAGAGAAAAAGATTTCAAAATATTTTTCCTTCATCTTTTTTGTAAATGTATTTAGTACAGCGTCTACAGGGTCTTACTGCACAGATTGGATTTAGTGGTCCTCCTAGTCACTCCTCCTTTTCTAGGAGCGACACCATGCCCAGTCTCAATCTCAGTCTCAGTGTGCCCCTGGGGCAAGAGCAGCATCACAAGCTGGGAATCGAACCCTCGGCACCCAAGAGTCTGCCTAAGCTGGTCCTTTAATCCTCTGAGCTATCTGGCTGTCCCTTGTTTTTCCTTCATCTTTATGTTCATTCTAATAATCACACGTTTTTAGTTTTCTGACAAATTTACTATAAGTCTATGTTACTTTGTTGTAATGTTAATTTTGAAGGTATGCTTTAAAATGCTAAAATTCTGATGAATTCTTTTTTTTATTGTTTGCCTTGTATAAATCACATTGTTATCACTATCATTTTACTGTGTGCTAAATCTTTGTTAACGATAATAGTTGAAATTCACTTGAATGCTGAAGAGCTTATGTTTATTGCATACAGACTTTTGTTTCTTTTTTTGTGGTATGATGCAGACTTTTAAATCTCAACTCAGTTCTGGAGAAGAGACTGTGGTTGATAAACAGGTACCATACAAGAAGGCCAGAAGTGCACCACCTTTGTTTAGAAGAAAACCCCAGAGTGGATTGTATGCATCAGTCAGGAGCTCGGGCTATGGTAAACCCAGTTCACCACTTAAATTGTTTTCTACTTTTGAAAAGAAAACTTCAAAGGATGTGAAAAGTAAAAACTTGAGACCCATTCCCACGTTCAATCAAGCTAAGAAAAAAGGTAATGGTATATTCTTTTTAAAATAATTCTGTGCATACAGTATTTTATTTTTCTTATTTTTGTGGAAGAGAATCATTCATAAGAAACTACAGTCATTTTCTGGAACATGCAATTTGCAGTAGATAATGATCCAAGTGGTTACGGTGGAGGTGATGAAAAGGAGTTAAATATGGAGATATTTAGAAGGAGAAACCAGAAATATAAAAGAATTGGTGTGGGATTTGTAGAGTTTTTGACACAAGCAACTGGAAGCATGGAATTGCTGTTTTCTGGGATGAGGGATGGAGTGGACTTGAGGCTGGGGAAATGAGGCATGATGTTGAGACATGATGTTGAGATTTATATTTGATATGCAGTTGGTGATGACAAGGAGGCAGTTAGACCCAAAAGCTGGGAGTCTAAGAGGGATGTTTAGACTCCAGGTGTCACTTGGGAGTTGTTTAAAAAAAAAGCAAGATGTTTTTAAGCTATGAAACTCACTGAGTACACCAAAGAGGAAGGACATTTAGAGGGGGAAAGGCAAAGCAAGGCTGTAAGCGCAGGCCTGCTACGTTATAAGAGTATAGGACCAGCGAGATAACTCAGCGGTCTAAAGTGCCTGCTTAGGCAAGCAGGCAACCGCAGGGACTGGCGGTTCGATCCCCAGCACCACATGCTGCACAAGCCCTGCTCTCAGGACAGGCTGAGCCAGCCACAAAAAAAAAAAAAACTAAAAAAAAGAGTCAAGCAGAAGAGTAGGAATGTGCAAGAGACAGGTTTAGAAGAAACCTGACAGCACGGAGAAGCCTAAAACCAGATGAAGGGAGAGGGTTCCTACTGCTTGGTGCTGATGGTAAAAGTAAAAACTGGAAGCGGTTGGTTTTAGCAACAGAAGCTTAGCAGTAAGAAGGAGCACTGTCCATGGAGTAGGGAAGCAGATGCTTCCAGTAACAGAATGCCCTGAAGCTGTGATGCCGACCCCTGCTGGGGCGCGTGCTGTGGGTTCACAACCACTGCCCTCCGGGGATGTTGCTGTAAAAAGGCAGCTGAAGCAGGACCAGCTGCTGACTTGGGAGGTGAGGTTAAGAGAATCTTTGGGTTTTTTTTTGTTGTTGTTGTTGTTTTTTGATGGTACTGGAGATTGAACTCAGGACCCTGTGCTTGCCAGGCGAGCGCTTATTCTACTGAGCTATCTCCCCAGCCCCAAGAAAATCTATGCTGTCCTTTGTTTTAGTTTGTTTTTAGTAGAAGTGACAGTACATTTGTGGGCTATTAAAGCTTCAGTAGACAGTAAAATAGTTAACAGTGTGAGTGGTCTCTGACCCCTTCTCTAGCTCTGTTCCTCAGCTCTCTTTCTCATCCCTGTGAACTAAGCAGTTTTGTTCCCCAGTATTCAACCCCCATGAGGTTTCTGCCTTGAGCCAGCACACCATGGACTACCTCCTGTGAGCTAAACTAAGCCCCCTCTGTTAAGTCACCAGCATCCACTTTTATATTCTAGTGATCAGAAAGCTGAGGGAGGGGCTGGGGAGGTAACTCACAGTCTAAGTGCCTGCCTGGCAAGTGCATGGACCTGTGTTCGATCCCAGGTACTACACGCCACGCTGGCCCCAAAGCCAGGTGTGGTGGCACATGCCTGTAATCCCAGCTCCATGAAGGCTGAGATAGGAGGATCACTATGAGTCTTAGCTGCATAGTGAGACCCTGGACCAAATAAATAAATAAAAGATTTAAAAAAAAAAAAAAAAAAAAAAAAAAAAAAAAAAAAAAAAAAAGAACGCTAACTGACACAGCATGAATGTAAACAGTGTCACAGACGTGAAAAAGAAATAGTGGGAACGATGTAGAGGATGATAGAGGAAAACTATGAGTAAAATTCTTAATCTGATTTTTACATCTTTCAAATTACATAGCATTTGTGACTAGAATTTTAAAAACCAAATTACTAAAATGTATATTGAAGCGTAATGATGGAAAATAACTTTAGTATTATACTGAGCTACTTTTTATTGTATTGTTATTAACTATGATTTTTAAATTCTTTATTGACTCATTACCCGCCAGCTCTTCTAGGTTCACTGAGAGCTGCAGTTCTGATGTGGCTGTTACTTGCCGTCCATAGGTTGGGTTCTCCAAGAAGCAGACGCTGAGATGGAGATCAGTGTGCAATAATTGATAGAGGCTGTGGGACTATCCTTGGATAGGAAAAGCAGCCCAGCCTCAGGGGCATGACCACTTCCTGGGGCTTTCCGTGTAACAGCCTCCAGAGGTAGGCAGCTGAGAGCAGGCACAGCTGTGCGAGGGGCCACAGGATCTACCGTAGGTGACTTTTGTCTTCACTCTCCAGTCTGCCCATGAAGTAGGAGGAGAGGTAGATGGCAGCCAGGTCATCGCCTCCTGAGGAGGCGCTGTGCTGCGTTTGCTGGAAGCACCAGGAAGGAAGCTGTCGCTTCTGTCCTGCTGAGCAGAACTTCAGTCGTGCGGCCACTCGCCACTCGCCACTCGTACTGGCAGAGGCCCTGTGGAGTCAGATGTGTTGAACTGAGCGTCTTGTTGCTTCCAGACAAACAGCATCTCTTAATGAGGAGGCGGCGGAGAACGGCAGTCCTGTGTGATGGTTCTTTTCATTCTAGATTAGTTTTCTTAGCTCGGACTTCTGTGTTTTTACTTTAGACTCATACATTACTCTTTACAAGTTCTTTTGTAAATAATACATTAGATTTGGGTTTACCTAAATTTACACGACAAGGAAACTGTATTTTATTGTAAGTCAGAAAAGATCCCTTTAGTAAAATCAAGTATGGAAACCACTCACAGGTTGCCTCAGGCGTACTTTCTAGGGCCCAACTGTACTTTTCAGCTTTTTCTTCATTAATCAGCTCCTCTTCTGTGAAATATAAAGTAATATATTCTCCTTTCAGGTGTTCTCTAGCTGGTTCTGCCCATTTTATTTTTACTTACTCAGAGCAACTATAGTATGTTTTTCTCCTGCAACCATAACTCCCGTCAGCATTTGGATTTAGTTCTTGGCTCTGATTATTAAAGTGATTAAATGCTTCTCAGCAGTTTCTTAGCTATGGTTTCTCCGTTTTGGAATCATTTTAGTGGGTTTTTTTAACTGAATTTTCATAATGCATTATTTTCCATCGGAATGCCTCCTAGTTTCCAACTTCTGCATTGTTTTCATATTTGAATTCATATTCCAGACAGTTTTCTCTTTGTATAAAGAGTGAAAAGTATTATCCATGTGCCATTATTAAAAATAACTTAGATACTTTTGTCTACAAAGAGAAATCAAAATTAAGAGTCCAAAGAGCAATCTGATATAAAAACTAGCAGGTCACAGCTATGAACATATGAGCAGTACTGGTTCTAGCTACTTATCCTGAAAAGAAGCACCTCCAAGCAAAACATACCTCATTCCTTGGTCACAGTAAATAGCCTCCAGGGACTGGAAGGATTAAATGACTGTCTACAGTGAATCTGTTATTTTTCTAATGCTTAAGAAATTTTGCTAGTGAACCCACACAAAATGGCCTAATTACAATTATGCCTATGTAAGGAAAACCTTTGCATGCCTGTAAAAAGATTGAAGTGAAAATTTTTGGAAGATATAGTTGAGAAATTGTTTCTTCTTTTGGTTTTTCTATAGTTTCCTTGTATACTTAATAGTTATGCATAACTTTCCATTTACGTTTTTCTTCAGTACTGGGGGTGAACTCAGGGAGCACTGAAGCTACATCTCCATCCATTTTTTACTATTTTATTTTTTGAGCAAACATCTTAGTGGGTTGCCCAGGCTGGACCTGACCTTGCCGTGCTCCTGCCTCAGCCACCTGAGGGGCCGAGATCCTGAGTGTCCACTGCCACTCCCAGCATGAACAGTATTTTTAATGCTTTTACTTTTTTAACAAAAAAATAAATTCTACATTTAAAAAATTACCATCTTGAGGGCTGGTGATATAGTTCAGCAGACTAAGCACTTGCTGAGGTTAAGCACAGGGACCAGAGTTCCATCCCTGGCACTGCATGCCACGCTGGCCCTGCCCCCAGGCGCACTGCGCCGGCGATGGAGTTTGGGCATGGTGGCTCTCACCTGCAATCCCAGCACTAGGGAAGGCAGAAATCAAGAGGACTGCTGTGAGTCTGAGCTGCATAGTGAGACCCTGCACACACACACACAAAAAAATTACCATCTTGAAGAAAATATCTTAAGAGTATAAAATTTGATCTCTAAGGCCATCTGATCCTATAATAGCTGAATAATGGCTTTAAAATCCTGTGTATATATTTCTCCTAGACCTTATTATTAACTGAATTAATGCACTGACTTTAGAATTATTTCTACTCTTCATGGGTTTATAAATTACATTAAAAGTGGGAAATTGGACCAAAATAAGCACTAATCACAGTTTTTCTAATTTAACATATTAATGTCCTATGATAGCAGGATGACTAACCTTTTAAAATCAAATTTAGGTTAGCTGTTACAAAATCCTCTTGTGCAGTTCATATTCCTCTGTATTAAATACCATGTTATTTCTTGTGAATGTATGCTCTGAAATCACACTTGATCTGAGCTAAAATGTTCCATAAAGTTATCAACTGCTTTTTAAAAAACTCTTTGATTCACTTGGAAATTCTTAAAATTGTGAACATATAAGAATTCATTTCCAGTTAGTTAATAAACCTGAAATTGTCTGAGTTTAGTCTCCTCACCTTTACTTGGCTCCACTTGTGAGCTGACGTGGGTCTCGGGTCAGCCATCTGTCAAGAGGAACAGAACATTGATTATGTGTAGCAGCTTCTGGTCGCAGTTACAGTGGATCAGCTGTTCTGCAGTGCTGCTCCTCGGCCTCCCTCAAGTGCTTGTTTTATTTTCATGTTCCTGTTCTTTTCTCACGCGTTTCTTGGAGATCACATACTCAGCTTTACATTTTTGGTGCTTTCATCCATTGTTCTTGATATTTAGAAATGTCCTCTGGAACGCAACTCATCAGGCCTGCAGCTTTGGGCAAAGCAGCACCCAAAAGTGAAAACTGCCTGGCTACTGCTGAGAAGTCTGAAGCTCCTGTGGCAGATGCTTGTGTGCAGTTTCAGATGGTAGATATCAAATTTCACTTTAATATTTATAACTGTGTATGTTCTAAAATTGTATTAAAACTAAATTACAAATATATGTTCAATCCATGAAGTAGGATAGTGTGAAAAGATCACAGTGAACCTCATCAATATGAATAATCATTGTGTACTAATAAAAAGATATAAATAATAGACATACAATTTTCTTCTGGTAGAATGTTATTAACCATGTTATTTTTATTCTTTAGTCTTGCTTTTTTCCTAAGCACCTATATTTGAATTTTATATGTGAAGCTGCTATAATAAAAGAACACTTTTCTTTAAAAGGACTTTTCAGTACACAGTGGTGAGAACAAAGAGAAAGAATTATTTATGCTTAAAAGGGTTCAAGAAGCAGAAGAAAAATGGAGGGGTGCAGAAGCCCTAATTGAGCAAATTAAAGTCACATTCTCAGAAAAAGAGAAAGAACTAGAAAATAAATTGGAAGAACTTAAGCAACAACAGGAAAAAGAGTTGTTCAAGTTAAGTCAAGAAAATTATATTCTTCAAGCCAAGGTACTACACACACCGTTTTGTTTTTCCTTTTATTAAAAAAACAACAGGGGGCCAGGGAGATGGCTCAGCAGAATAAGTGCTTCTCTGGCAAGCAAAAGGGCCTGAGGTCAATCCCTGGTTCTGGAAATAAATGAATAAAAATAAAAATAAAAAATAAAAGAACAAAAATAGCCAAACCCCTTTCCTTTCTGTTAAGTGCATTACCTTTCTCGCTGCCCAGAGTTGACTTCATCTATGTGCTGTATGAGGTCTGGGCGTGGCTCTGGAGAGTGGCTTCTTACACAGGAGAAAATCGAAGGTCTGGGGTGAAGATGTAGACTTAAGTCAGCTCGTTTTGATGATCTCTGTGAGCAGCCCTTTTCAAATGAGTTTCATCAGGAGCTGCTGTGTGGCCTAGGTTCACAGTGTCACTCACGAGGGTTCTTGTACACACCAGAGCTGACAGCACCAAAGTCACCGTACCAGCCTGCAGTTGCAGCATATTCCAGTGTCACACTATACAGTAGTTTGGATCTCACTGTCTTGGGTTTTCTGTTAGCCTTTTCATATCTCACTGCCCCTAATGAACAATTTCTGCATTCTCTTAAAGTTGAATAGCTTTGAAGAAACAAACAGAAAACAAAGGTGGTTACATTTTGGAGAAACTGCTGATCCTGTCACTGCAGAAAAATTGAAGCAAATCCAGAAAGAAATACAGGAACAAGAGACCCTTCTTCAAGGATATCAACAGGTATGGCAGTTCTGCTCTAGACGAGTTTGCTTTTAATCCTTTAATTATAAAATTAAGGTCTATTAAAATATTCTGTGCTAATTTAACAGGTACCGGTGGGGCAGTTATAGTTTGACTGGTCTGCACATTTCTCATTGGCAGGTTAAAGAGCACAGTTGTGAGTTCACAGAGCCTGGTGTCAGTTGTTAGCTACTGCCTGCTCTGCAGCCACAAGCAGATCCCTTCACCTCCCTAAGCAAGTTACTGTGCCCTGAGATGCTGGTAGCAGTAGTTATTACCACACTCATGGGGTGAAGGTGAGGTCAGAATACAGCAGCGCAGACCGACTTCTTAGCGAGTGCTGTACGCTCCTAGTCTGACACGCAGTAACCACTTAAATGGTGTTTGGCACACGTTTGATATTCGTTCCTTAGTAATTAACCTGTTTTCCTTTAGTTTTCTACAGTGCTCTGTAGTAGACAGTATTGGATAGTTTTGCTGTTACATTCAGAAATGTGAATCTGAAATCATCTGCTAAAGCCATGAGGGTCAACGTTGTTTCAATTTAATGTGAGATCTGTTTACTGAGAGGTATATATGATGTGAGATGGAGTCTTAGTGATGCTTACCCGACAGCCAGAATGGGCTTAATAATCTTCATCAGATTATCTTCATTCTTTGCTTCCCACACCATTTGTTCTTTTTCTTCTTCCTCTCCCTTTCGCTCAGTATGTTCTCTGACAACCAGTCTGAGCCCTGAGTCATGCTCTATCACCCAAGGACATTCAGATGAGGCATTTGCCATACCAGTGATTACATTATTTTCTGTAAATGAAATAGCCTGATTTTACAGGGTATGCTGCCCTCAAATTAGAACTGTTCTTCGTCTTTATCTGCCATTGATCTTCACTTATGAAGCAGGCGTTTTTAAGATTTCATAGACCCATAAGTATTTCACCCAAGTGCTCTAATGAAGATAATACAAATGTTGTGCACCTGTGTATCGGGGGTTAATTTATGTACTGTATCAAAGTGCCATCTGCCAGGCACCATTCCAGACATGGTTAAGTAATCCATTGTCTTCTTCAGCTCCTCAGAAGCCCTTGGCTTTCATCAGATTCTTAATTGTAAAAGGAGTTAATAAGCAAAGCATCATACACAGATTGGTACTTTCTCTTCTCGCTTCAGTGTCAGCTAGATTGCATCATTCAAGTCCCAGGGTAGCCGGGGTCTATGCTCTGCCTGGTCTGGCAGCTTCATAAACACTTGATCTTTAGCTCCCTGCTTATAATCGTAAACAACTATGAGTACCCTGTTATATTTTGTCTCTCGTCACTGAAGGCCTGGCTTCCAGACTTTCCTCCAGTGATGACTGTTTCCTTTTTTTTACTTTTAGGACAGAAACTAAGGAAGGTACGAGTCTCAGCAGGCACACCACCCTCAGCCCAGACAGTTGGGATGCGATGATGCCTTCAGCCCCTCTCCCTCTGAGACCCAGTACCTTAAGTTGATGTAGGCTCTTTTAGCTTTGGGGATGTTCCCAACTGATTTTTCACATGAACATGTTAAGCATTTCTTGGGGGGAAAAAGAATTGCTTTTAGATAATTCAGTTTTCTTCTAAAATAGTACTAAAAAAATAGGAAAAATATTTTATATACTAAGGAACTTTTAAATAATGTAAAATATTGTTAAAATACTTAAAAGATACATCTTTTGCAAGCATGTCATATCAGTTTACTATTGATTTTTAACTGAAATGCAGTTTCCTTTTTTAAAAAAGGAAAATGAGAAATTATATAATCAAGTAAAAGATCTCCAAGAACAAAACAAGAAAAATGAAGAACGAATGTTTAAGGAAAACCAGAATTTATTTAGTGAATTATCTTCGTTAAAGTAAGTCCTTCTGAAATTCTTACAATCAAAAATACTTAAAATATTTTTACGTAGTTTATTATTATAGTGATTTGATTTTACTTAGAAATATATTTTTTCATTTATTTATTTTCATTTGAACATTAATTTCCAGCATAGTAAGTTACTGAATATTCAGTGGATTTTGCTTTCGTTACTTAATGACTAAACATACTTTATTATGTTCAGTGCATTCACATTTGAGTTAGGCTTTGGTTCCAGGATATTTAATATATACCGTTTTTCTTGATGCCTTAGATCCTGATACCCTCCAGGTTAGGAATTGCTATTTCACTAGAGCATTTCTCCAGAGGAGATACCTGTGAGTTACATCCGCCAACACTCACTATAGGGGACTACTGCCCACTTACTCATGTTCTAGACTAGCATGTACGGTCATTTGGGTATCACTGCTATCTTCTAAAAAGAATACTCCACCATCCAAAACTAATTTCTATGCTGATACAAATGTTTTCTTTAATACAGCAGTTCTAGATGATCTTAGATGTCCTAAACTTTTTATATATTGTCTTTGCAAGAAATCCTGAAAAGTAGAGTTTGGTTTTGTTAGTTTCCATGCCTAAAATTGGAAATTTGTATTTCTCAGAAGAGTCTAGATTTGGGATGAGGAGTATTTTATTGCCACAAGAAAAATTCAGCCAGCACATTTTTCAGCACCATTGTTTTGTTTTGTTTTTGTCATCTGAGAATGGGAAGAAATAGATTTATATTACAGTAATTTTAGAATTTTAATTTCTTTAGAATATATCAAAGTATTTCCTTTAAATAGCCAGTATTGGGGGCTGGTGAGATGGCTCAGTGGTCTAAAGCACCTACTTAGAACAAGCTTTAGCAAAACCCAGGGACCACGGTTCGATCCCCCAGCATCACATGCCAGCCAGCCCGCCCCCTGGTGGGCTGAGCTGGCCACACACACACACACACACACACACACACACACAAATAAATAAATAAATAAATAAAATTAAAAAAAAAAAAAAAATAGCCAGTATTTTGGCCCTAACCCTTTAAGGTCAGTGAGGACTCAGGACATAAGAGAACCTGTACCGTAATGTCCTATAACTCAATGGTGTCCCACATTTTCTGTTCAAGGAGGTTATGGGGCCACAGAGGAAAGTGATTGAAAATGTATAGTGTGCCTAAGGAGAATCACCTAGAGAGAAAACATTCTCTCAGACTTTCACAGAGAGCAGATTGGTCAAGCAATGGCCATGACTCATCCACATGGCTGATACTATCATAAGATGTACAAACTTCTGTACATGGTTTCAGGGTAAATCCTGAGAGGATTTGACTGACCTTGTCAGATACAAAAGTTACATTTTTAGTTATATAGGTCTTTTTTTAACTTGATCTTAACCATCCAGCAGAAAAGTATAAGCATAAGGTATAAAAAGTAAAGCCTTATAAATATGCTGAACTGTAAAAGGCTCAAGTCAACAACTTCTGTCATTGCCTGTTCCCCTGATAACCGACTACTATTATGGACTATTGGACTATAATGGGTTATTTTGCTGAATTCAAGCACCTACAATATTTGAATGGCAGTGGAACACCCATCTCTGACAAAACAAAATAAAAAGGGGGTATAAATGAAAGACCACAGGATATATAGCCACTTTCTCTTAGTTCAATGAGAAAAAAAATTTGTACTAATAGTGTTTAGACAAGATATCATGTCTGCATCTTTTACTCCAAATAACTACTATGAAGACAATATGCAGTGTATTAATTATTGTAACTGTCCTACTAACCTGTTTTGAAACTGTCTCATTGCAGTTTCTTTCTCATTAAAATTAATTTTTAAAAAAAGTATGTCCTTTAAAGTGTACTTCTTTTAGTACATTAGTATTTGAATCTTTAGGATAAATAAAACTTCTATTTTCAGTGATTAATATAGTTTGATGTTTTTAGTGTTTGTCAAGCACTTTTGCATTAAAAAGAATGTCCGCTGAAAGTATCCTTTTATTTCCAATATGCATCAGAGAACAAATGCACAAAAGTCATTTTCTATCTCAAGTAGTTGAAGATTCAGAGCCTACCAGAAACCAGAGTTTTACAGATCTGTTAGCAGAACTACGAGTAGCACAGGTAAGTTGCATAAGGATTGTAATTATTGGAGATAATAAATATTGTTATAAAATATCTCTTATGTGTAAAAATTGTTTTTATAATGTAGGAATCAATTTAATTTTTAAATGTAATACCATTTAAAAATAACAGCTAAGATTAGCATTTGACCTTAATATAAGTGGAAATAATGTCGCATGGCTTTAGATCTAGACATCCTCTGTCAGATTCAGTAGGCGTTTATCACCTGGACCCCTGACAGCATAAATTTTCTAGGACGTGTGTGTGTGTGTGTGTGTGTGTGTGTGTGTGTGTGTATGTGTGTGTATTTTCTTTTAAACAAATTCTACATTCAGAAGCATACAGTATGAAGCTAAAACAGGAAAAATCATTTGGAGGTAATTGTTCACCTTAAAAATTACTAGACATTCTCCCCTTGGTCACTGGAGTGGTGAAGAGGAGAAACGGGGAGTAAGGGCTCCTTGCTAGTGTCTCTGTCTAGAAGATGGTCTTCAGTTTACGACCATAGCTCCTTCTCTGGCATAAGAAAGTAAAGTACTTGGTCTTGTTGGGCACAAAGTTCATATTACATGGTACAACATCTGAGCTTTATAGATGTCCTATAGTGATAGTATATGATAGATACAAAGTAGAAATAGTTCACCAGCTTGTCAATCTTGGTGTTACCATTAGTAGAGAAGGGTGCATCTTCGAATTGCTTTCCCACCCCTGGCAGTGTGAATTAGGTCCTGTCATTAGGCTAGCTGAGGAGTAGAAGGAAGCAGAAGGCCGGCCGGATAGCTCAGCGGACTAAAGCACCTGCTTAGGCAAGTGCAGCAACTAGGGTTCAGTGCCTTGCCAGCCCTGCCCCTGGGCATACTGAGACAGCAGTTGAGACTTGGCGTGGTGGTACACACCTATAATCCCGGTGCTTGGGAGGCTGAAAACAAGGAGGATCACTACAAGTTCAGTCTGTATAGTGAGACTCTATAGACCCTGTACTAAGTACATTTAAAAAAAAAAAAAAAAAAAAAAGGGAAGCAAAGAAGTTTGCCTTAGGTTCACATTTACATTTTGTGCAGAGCCATTTTGATGTGTGTGCATCTTCTAGTTGAACTGTAGGAATATATTAGTAATTCATTGGGAACATACCTTCTTGCTAATACTTTCATAGAGAGTAGATAACTCTTAGGAACATTCTTGGTATAATCTGTTGCTTTATGTCTCATTTTAAATTAAGCTTTAAGGAATGAGTAGTTTAATTATAACTCCACCATTTTTATAGGTCTATTGCCATTTCTGTCTTCAGTAAATTTTTTATCCCCAAGAAAGGATTATATTTTCTTTCTAACAGATTGAGTTGATGTAGGATATTCTTGCTTATCAAAACTACTTTTGTAGCTTTGAGAATTTGAATTGTTGAATATTCATGATGTGTGAAAACTTGTATCACACAAATTGTACACGTGCATAAGGGACCTACCAGGACACTTGCAGCTCATGGCTACAGATGACGTCCTTGCTTCTTACCAGTATTAATTGGTTGTTTACTTATCTTCCAGTGTGGACAGTATACTTCTATAGAGCAGAGATTGCATCTTACAGATACTTGCGTCTGATCTACTAAAGCTAAACTGTGGACTTTCTCCATAACAAATTGAATAGTGCAGAATATAGCCTAGAATTTTCTAATACTTATAAGTGGGAGAAGGTTTGGAATTTTGAGCAAACTAATTGTTTTAAGCAGAAGTGTTTTATATGTTACTGATTTTTACATTTTTGTCCCCCAATGCTATATGCTCATACAACCGACCAGACTTTGTAATAGTCAAAACTGCTCTATCAGCCAGGTGTGGCGCACACCTGTGATCTCAGCTCATGGGGTCAGAGGTAGGAGGATCGCTGTAATTTCGAGATCAGCCTGTTCCACATAGTGAGTTCCAGGCCTGTGTGACCTACGTAGCAAGATGCTGTCCCAAGAAACCACTCTGCCACATTTCCAAGCATCCCATGCAGTTACTTCCCTCCATACTTCCTGTTAAGACAACACTAAACTAAAAAGCCTTTCCGATATATATGAATGAGTATCTACCTTCAAAATTTTAATTGCTGTAAGTTTACTGTACATTTAAGAAATATACCATAGTTTCTTGCCTTTATTTATTTATTTATTTATTTATTTGTGGAACTGGGGATTAAACTCAGGCCCTTGTGCTTGCCAGGGAAGTGCTTATTCCACTAAGCCATCTCTCGGGCCTTTAAGTAGTATCAGGGCATGTCTTTTTTTTTTTTTTTTTTTTTTTTTATTGAGAAACAAATAGCAATGAGACAGTTTCAAAAATTATTATTAGGAAAGTTTACTGTACATTTAAGAAATATACCATAGTTTCTTGCCTTTATTTATTTATTTATATTATTATTTGTGGAACTGGGGATTAAACTCAGACCCTTGGGCTTGCCAGGCAAGCACTTATTCTACTGAGCCATCTCCCCGGCCCCCTGTTGGATTTTCTTTACTCGTTGATGTTTTTATATTGAAAATTAATTATGTCCCTATCACATGACCAAAACAATCAGTTAAAAATTTCACTAAAATATTTCTATGAAAGAGTCATAATTTTAGTTGTTCAGCAGTAGCAAAGATAGCATTTAAGAAACAATCATCATAAGCATGAAAATTGAAACATGAAAATTAAAACATGAAAGAGAACAGAACATGCAGAAAGGTGGAAGTCCATTGTCAAATTCCATTGTCACCAAAGTACTTGTTTTGCAAGAAAAATTCAGAAAATTATTTTGGAAATATAAGAATCGATATTTATAAGAATTGAATATCATTCTAAAGTACAGATGGTATCCTATAGCAATAGAAACTAATGGCTTGCCTTCAAGTCTGAAAAATGGTGGAGTGCAAGCTCAATTTTAATGTAATTCTACATAAATTATGGATTGCAGCTATATTAAAGAGCAAGCTACAGATATCATTGGAAATGATGCTGCATTAAAAATGAGTAGTAAATGTGTTATAGAGAGGAAAAAAGGAAGTGATATTTAGTTATAAGGCATACAAAACAGTTTACTATATGGAAGAGGATAAAGGCAAGTTAAAAACTAGAATGACACACATTGGAGGCTTCCTGTAAGACTTAGAGAATATGAAAGTTTTGTGCATAAAAATTAATTTATTTATATGATCTCAATGTTTCTGTGTGCTTGGCAAATTTGTGTAAGTGCACATGGGTAGTATTACATACATGTCCTTGTAATCAAGAATTTTATAGTATTATTAGGGATAT